GCCAGGACGATTGCGACGGCGGGCTCGAGGCCGGAGAGGATCGTGGCGAGCACACCGGTGTATGTCACGTCGAAGAAGTCGAGACCCGGTAGCAGCGTTTGGCGGTATATGGTGGTGGCCCAGGTACTGCGCGACAGGTCAGCATGAGTTCAGCACGACTGCATGGGCGCAGGCGTGCACTCACCCCACTCCAATGCTGAGGAGTGCCATCGCAGCCAACTTCTTGCGCCACGTCATACGCAACTTGTACAAATATAGCATTGGTAGTAAGATCATCACGGCGTCTGCGATGAGGTTGATGACACCCATTGCGAAGTAAAAGGTCGGCTGACCACCGCAAGTCCCGGGTAGTGCGAAGTTCCAGTTCTTCGCCAGTGGCCGGCATATCGCGAGAGCGGCGATTACGTCGGCGACGCTCCAGGCTATGATCACAGCGGAGAGGGAGCGGGCCCATCGCAGCCTGGATACCATTGGTGACGGTGCCGTGTACATTAGCAGGACCGATAGTTTGCTGAAGCACACGGTCGCATTCCACAGTATTGCAAATGACATGATACCCTACGGCATAACCTGTTAGAGCTTGTAAATTCGAGAGAGCAGTGACTAGTCTTACCTTGAAGAAGAAGGTTGCCGTGTCAGGCCCAAAGCGCTGATGTATGTCCGTGGTATGAAAGCCAAAGCCACCATATGTGACCAGCGAGATGCAGCAAGCGTGCAGTGCAGTGTTGCATATCTGATGAATCGATTAACGCGGAGTTGTTTCGTTTACCAGGCTTGATCTACCAAGGCAGCAAGAATACAGTAATCACTGTAATCGATCCGGTTCGCGATCCTCTTGGCTACCAGTCGCAGACCCACAGCGACAATGACAGGGGATAGAGATGGAAGAATTCACGAGGATGCCAACATGTTGCCCGTTCTCGATGGGAATCATGACGGTCATCGAGATAGATCTGCTTGGTGGGACTGTGGCGTGGAAATGTCCGAGGAGCGTGGAGGCTTGATCAGGTACCGCCAGACCCGACGATAGGGGACTACCGGTCGAAACCTAGCCACCATGCCACAACCCGATCGGAGAAGCATGTATGCAGAGACCTGACAAGGCAAACACAGTGACCGAAGTGCGTCCTAGCCACAAACAGGTATTGGGATCCTCATAGCGGCTGAGATCTCATTGGCCCAACAAGCATTTATTGGACATTAATAAGTAACAGCAGTGAGCAGCGGCTTAAAGACCAATAGGAATGAGATCGCACACTGCACCCTTGCATATTGCCGTTTGTTGCTGCTTTCGTGGCGGCCTGACTTCGGGTAATGGCGGCAGCTGAAGAGAACGAGTGAACAGCGCGTTTGTACATCTTGGGTACAAGATGGCTATGCCGTCAATGAACTTCAGAGGGCTTTGCACATTCGACGTTCCAAGGTTGCTTGTCGCGACTATCAGATTCCCGCTGTCGTTTGACCGGCGTAGAGTCTGCCCCGCGGCGAAAGCTGTGACGTGGAAAACTGATCAACGCGATCTCTTTTCTTACGAAGGATCGTATACCTTGAACCTATCTACGTGAAGTTACGTTGGAGTCGCCCCACACGTAGCGTGCCCCCACCTGCTTTCCAGTAGATGGTTGGATCCATGGATGCCGTGCCGCAACGCCAAGCTAGCGCGGACGCGAGCGAACCGCGTCGTTGATTTCGCTTGCAAGCTTCTAGCCGGTAATACTTCTCTGTCGCAGCCTGATTTATAGGTTCCAGCGGATTGGCCGACGTCTGATCGGCCTGCATTATCTGAAGACTAATTATCGAAACGAGAGAACAAACAATGCACACCGGACCTTGCACGGGGGTGACATATCCGCCAACGTTCAGGCCGCACGGCAATGCGAAATCGCTAGACGCGCCAACTCCTGCAGCTGCCGAATCCTCCGGCCAACAGCTCGGAGAAATGATAGGAAAAAGTAATTGCTCCTTTTTAAGGGACGCGGAGTAGCTACTCCCGTTGCAATGTGGAAAGTGCCGTGCCCCAGTGCGGGACAAAGATGGGAACCAGGAACTATTGCGCATGCATATAGCCAAAATCGTATCCACCCATGGCCTTGCCGTTGCTTGTTACATAGGATGGCTCATCCTTCTAAGATTCGCCGCAGGCTGTTCGCCGGACACCGATCGTTAACACCATGGGTTCCATTTCGCAGGATGAGCGCAAAGTCGCCATCATTACCGGTGGCACGGTTTGTCGCGTCGCATAACCGCAGTTGACCTGAGCTTGCTAACAAATCCCAACAGAGTGGAATTGGATCCTGGCTAGCAGCCCGGTTACAGGCGAGAGGATATCGCATCGCGATCTGCGGTCGACGTGAAAGCGAAGGCAAAGAAGTCGCCTCATCCATTGATGCGACAGGAGACTCGGTCATCTTTGTCCAATGCGACGTCAGCTCGTATGCCTCGCAAATCAATCTCTTCCAGACCACATGGAACAAATGGGGCCGCCTGGACGTTGTGATCGCGAATGCGGGCCTTCCCGATCGTGGATCCGTGTTCAACCTCAACCGCCGCGATGCGCCCATCGACGACTTGCCTCCCGAACCAGATACCAGCTGTACAGACGTCGTGGTGAAAGGACGAATGTATGGCACGACGTTGGCGACACACTACATGCGCCACAACCCAGGAGGCAAAGGCGGCAAGATCATCATCACAGGAAGCATGCTTGGCATATATCCATGCCACAGCTTTCCGGAGTACTGCTCGGCTGAAGCAGCGACAGCAATGTGGACGAAGACAACCGGACCTGTTCTGCTAGCCAAGGACAACATCTCCATTAACTGTTTGATGCTCGGTCCCATCGAAACTCCAGTCATGCCTGGCTTCAGCAAAGCCTTTCACCCCGAACACATGATGCTGCAATCGACCCTCTTCGACGGTTACGATCTGTTTCTGGATGACGAGAAGAATGAGAGGACAGGGCAAGTTGTCGAGATAGCGCACGACAGACTGACGGAATGGGGACATCCAGGTTACAAGAACGGAGCTTTCTCGAAGCGTAGTGAGGCTGTCTTCGAGCCATGGTTTGCTATGGTGCATGGAGAGAAGAGCGGCTTGCCCGGTACAATTCACGAATGGCCGAACCGGGGTAATAAAATCATCGCTGTGACAGGCGCGACAGGAAGCCAAGGTGGCGGAGTAGTCAACATCATGAACAAGACGCCTGGATGGACAGTCAGGGCGATCACCCGAAACCCAGACAGCGATGCGGCGAAGAAGCTGGCAGCGGAGGGAATTGAGGTTGTGAAAGCTGATTTCGAAGACGAGGGATCATTGCGAGCCGCCTTCGATGGTGCAAATGCCGTCTTTGCGGTCACGAATTGGTGGGAAGCGCTCTTCCGTGGCAAAAGCCAGCACGAATGTGGCGAGATCGAAGAGCGACATGGCATGAACCTCGCTCGGGCTGCCGCGGCCACACGATCAGTCGAACACTACATTTGGTCAACTTGCCCAAGCGCGAAGCGTCGGTTCTGGGGCAAGATGGAAGCGCCGCACATGGACTATAAGGCTAATGTGGATGCGCGCATCAAAGCCGAGTTGCCACAACTTGCTGCCATCACGACTTACCTGTACTTCGGATACTATCCGCAGAACATGGCTTTCTTCCCACTCTGCAAGCCCTTCGAACACGTGAGTCTGAATAATCCCTCTTCATATGGGCGCATTAAACTGACATCTGATCCAGCCTGGCACCGGTAGATACATCCAAGCGATGCCCACGAAGCCGGACGCCAAAGTCCTTGTAGCCGGCGATATGACAGTCAACCCCGGCATCTGGGTCCGCCAAGTCCTTGCTACTGGCGCCAAGGCTTACGGTAGATACGCGAATGTTGCGCTCGAGAAGATGACATACCAGGAGATGGTCGATGTATGGTCGGAAGTCACTGGCAAGAGCTGTGTCTTTGCTGGGCTCAGTATGGAGACGGCGGCCAAGCTTTACGGCGATGTGGGCAATGAACTGGCGCTCCAGTTCAAGTATGGCGAGGCTTGCGATCCTTGGGAGGTCACCGAGGAGTTTGTGAGCCCAGAGGAGCTGGGCATAGACGCTTGCGAGGTCGTTGGGTTCAGAGGCACGATCGAAGGCCTCCACGCAGGCGGATTCTGGGCTTAATATCAAAGCCAGATGCCCGGCATATATCAGTAGAGTAATCCAGGCGTCCTGTTTCTAGTATCAAGCATTCGGTATATCAAACGGTGGATGCGACGGAGGTTCTCGGGTGCCAACGGGCTGCTCTAGGCATGCGTCAGCTTGATCATATATAGGGCTGGTGATGCGAAATACAGTAGCCATTCAGTAGTGACCACGGCCCGCTGGTCATGAGATGACGCTTTCGTCGTGGGAGTTGAGAAATCGGGGTGTCGCGTCTGGGTCGGCAGCTATGTAGAAGAAAGGAGGCTGAAGACCTCGGGAACCTCGACCGTTCATGGGATGATAGCCTAAGCGGGTTCTTCATGACTGGAAGCCGTTGCGTACGTCAGTCCGTGAGCTAAGGTCGTGAGCGACGCATGGGATCGTATCCAGGTAAGGTGTGGGTGGTACGGCCTTCAGCGTTGGGTGCGATGGCGGCGGGCCCCGTCGGGGTTCCCGTTCCCGCGACCCGCCAACGCCGCCACATGCCTACCCGTAAAACACGCGACGCGCAAACACGTGCGACCACCATGTCGCCACAAGTTGACAACCACCCGCGAATCTGCCTCTAGAAGTCATCCCGCCTAATTGAATATACTCCAGAACTAGGATCAGTGATGTGTTCATCAGGTGCTATCGTGTTGCGCCTGGTGCGTGAGGTTTGGTTTACATTGAGGGCATGAACATTCTGGAAATGGACACAGCCTGCGCAATTTCATCACGAGCAACGACAAGACCAAAAAGTCTCTCTAGGACCACGCGCCTTTCAAGTATTGGAAACGACAGTGCATTCGGTGTTGGTTGAATCTGGAGAGCTATCCTTCAGGTCGCATCAAAGCGCATCTGCATGCACGATGGGTGGCTCGTGCGGACCCTGCTTACGACATTCCTCAGGTGCATCCCAGCATACTGGCGCTGCCCATGTCTTCCTATCTACGACAGTATCTTCCGGGGCGCCTGGGGCGCGTGAGATGTCAGAGGAACTAGAAGACTCTGCATCCGTCATCTGCCCATCCTTCTTTGCCTGTAGTTCGACCTGCGCATCGACATCGTCCTCATTGTCGAACCAGGACGGCGGGTCGAGCAATCGAGGAAGCTTAGCTGGCGCCTTCTTGTTTCCCTTCTCTAGCTGCGCCCCTTCGTTGAGGTTGTCGCTATGGTTCGGCGGGCTGCGAGCCTTGCTTCTCGAAAAGAGAGGACGCATGAGCGGTATGCAAGCCACAACGATCATGACTGCGCACTCGAGACCACCCAGGAACATGGCGATGGCCATGTCCGAATATCGATTGACCTTTCGCCAATTCAGACCCCACAAGCACTTCTGGCGATAGATGGTAATGGCCCAGGTCCTAGGGTTCGTGTAAGCATATTGCAGGCGATGGAAGTCTGTCTGGTATACGTACACTATACCCATCCCTAGTAGGATGATTGCAACGATCTTCTTGCGCCATGACGTCCGCAAGCGGGTCAGATACGGCATCGGAAGTGCGATGATGATCGTATCGATGATCAGATTCAGCAAGCCCATGATGAAATAGAACAGAGTCTGGTTAGGGCATTTGTCTGCGTTGATCCATGCCATGTTGAAAGGTCTGCAAATTGACAATACCGCAATCAGATCTGCTACTGTCCATACGACGATCGTCGCGCCGAAATAGCGACATATTACGCGCATGGATGCGTTGGGTATGATCGAAGTGTACATGAGCAGGACTGAGAGCTTGGACAGGCAGGCAGTGACATGCCAAGTGCACACCGCGACTAATGTGCCTTTGGAGAGGATGCGCATATTGAGGATACCAAAACGCTGTAGGAGGGTTGTGAGTTCGAGGCCATAGCCTGCGTGGAAGACGAGGTATAAGTGGTTGCAGTTTGTTGCTAGGTTGAACACCTGTCAAGTCACGTCAGCGCCTCTGCTCTATAATGTATCTCGTATCGACGTGACCGATACGATGCATCCAGATGCACTATGAAGATGAAGGATGAGGATGGTTTACCAAAGCTGCTATAATGCAGTAGTCGCTGGCGTCGATTCGTTTGCGGATGTATTTGGCCACAAGACGTAAGATGACCGCGATGGTAGACAAAGCGATCGAGCTGACTGATAAAGCGATTGTCCAGACCTGCAGTCCAGTTTCGATTGTGAAAGCCATACTGAGCGAAAAACGCGCCTTGCGAATATAGGTAGTTCAATGGTAGATGAGGATGCGAAGATACTGCTTCGTCGAGTCATGACGGGGACTTCAAATACAGTCGTTGCAACCTCGACAACATTACAATGTCGATTGTCTGCCTCTACGCCCTTCCAACGGACGCAAGCCACTCAAGCTCTCCGAACGGTGAACACTCGAGCCTTCCGAACGGTGAACGCTCGACCCTTTCGAAGGGAGGACAGCCGAAGAGCTCACTCGATCTCGGCATTGAGTTTCTCCAAAGGGATCTCTGTATACTGTAAAGTTCATGCTAGTGCATCATGCAACGATGGCCAAATCGAGAAGAGATGCATAATGTAGATGGAGCAAAGCACAGGAGTGGTCCATGCGGAGACCCGCGGAGTTCACTCGATCTCGGCGTTGGATGATCCCAAAGGGATCTCTACATACTGTAAAGTTCAAGTTGGTGTATCATGCAACCATAGCCCAATCGAAAATGGATGCATGATGCAAGTGCACTCAGACGCACAGTGGTCCGCGGGAAGATGGAGGAATGATATGGCGGGCCGCAGGAGTGGTTCGTGATCGGAACGGATCTGGCCACCGGGAAGATCGGATCAGAGGCCACCTACAAGGTGTGCGTCTCCAAAAAAAGATGAGTGGTCGCATAACTTATATGGCGATTGCGCAATACGATAAACACAGGGTGTATGATGATTATTCTGTTGGGTACTGAGAACAGCGCATGCTGAATCTCCAGGATGGTAGTTGTGGTGAAGGGAGCGCAGGCAGGAAGGCTGCGGGCGAGACCAGTTTGTGGATCCCCGCTTTTAGAATCTCCGCTTTACCAGACCAGGACTAGTGCGAGATGAACGGTCAGCTCTCGCGCCTCCTACACGTCGCGTGCCTCAGCCCACAACAGCAACCAATATCTTCAAGGCGCGTATCAGCTTATTGTTCTCATCTCATGCATTGAATGCCGCCCCCGAATAGCGGTGTCATTTCACCGTTGATGATCATCTCCCTCATCGGAAACAAGAGGTCGAACTGCCCCAACACCAGCCATGCCAGCGCACGATCTGCTCGGACTGCCATTGGTATTATTTCGCATGATCGTAGAGACAGTAAGCACCCTTATGGTTTGGCCGAGCATGCAATCGACCAAAGCCGGCATAGCTTCACGACGATGATGCGAAATCGCTGTATTCACTGCGATGTGTATCCAGAGTATGCCGCGACGAATCCGACATGTTACTCTTTCGTAGCATCCGTCTAAAAGACCATTTAGATCTCGCCGAGCTAGAATCTGGCGTAACTCTCGACCTGGACATGGATGAAGCTATTGTTGCCCAGGAAGAGTTGTGGTTGCAGAAAGTAACTAAGAACCTGCTGCAATGCATACTGGACGAGAATAGATCTATCGCGAGACATGTCAGACATCTGGAAATCGGCGCCTTCTATTAGGGCTTCTTCGATGAGGCGCTCGCGCCTGTTCTGGATGATGTATTGACGATGACGACTGGCCTGCAGTCTTTGAGGTAGGGCTGAACCCTTGGTGATATACTCGTATACTAACTTGGCACAGCTGGGGCACGAGCATACCTATACCAGAGGGTGCCCTCCACATGTTTCACACGATGCATCACACGGCTCGCCTGCACGTGACGAATCTCGAGCGGGAAGGGAAGCCTCTGGATCGACGTCTACTCTCGTCAACGCAGCTTCACTCCCTCCAGTTGTGCGTTTACTACGATGAACCAGACCAAAGCCTTTCCCTAGAGGGTTGTCACAGCGAGTTCCAAATTCTGAAAGGTTACCTGATGCTCGGCAATAGCATCAAGGCACTTGATCTGAGCTTCGAAGACGCTAAGCTTACGATACATGATAAAACGCTCGTCGGCTTCAAAGACTGTGAGTATAGCCCTTTGAACTTTCATTGGCAAAAAGGAGATCGATTTCCCACGCTTGAGGAGTGGGTTGTGGGCGAGAGTTACGCAGACTATGCCTACACCGCGCAACACATGGACCTGTGGCATCGATGCATGGATTGGTCCCTGCTCCGCGTTCTTGATCTTAGTCATTTGAACAAGTACCCTTCATCTATGCTGCCGATAATACCGTTGACTAGCCATGTCCCGCGGCTCGAGTCTTTGACTCTCGCCGTCTCCAACTGCAACGAACACGATAAGAAAGATCCAAAACGTTCACTGTCAATATTGGAAGAGTTTCTGCGAAATGTTTTGGCACTCAAAAGATTGCGCCTAGTATGGCACGGCATCCCGGACTGTCTACCAATAATATTACAACACCAAGGCTCGACGCTGCGTGAATTGGGCTTGGAAGACCTTGGCGATACAGCTCCCTGGAGCCACCAGCTCTTTCTCGACATACTGAGCAAGGCGCCGCAACTACGTCATCTAGAAGTAGAGACGTCGAATCAACACTCTGAGTTTGAACTACAAGGGAGGTGGTCAGGTAAAGCCGTCAACTCATCGCCATCTGAGAAGTATAAGAGCATGGAGCATATGCACATGAGCTTTCAGGTCAACAAAGCAAAAGCAGAAGCCGCTGTTCTAAAACGCTTGAATATACCATACGTACTAAGGCGAGATGGAAGATACGAATTATGCGCCACAGGAGTCACTTGGAAACGAGAATCACGGTAGACAGGTCATGTTCGTGTTATGTTTTCGATTCCCGGTTCGATTCGTCTGATTCAAAGAAGACCTTTCGCATACCTAGGAAGAGGTCAGACCGCGCCTTTTAATCAACAACGTGTTACACACTCTCCTCGCTGGATGACAAGCTATACGATTTACCAATCCGCATATTCTTCGTTCTCAAAGAAATCTTGATGCTTGAACCCAAGCACAGTCGCGATTACACAACACGATATATTGTCGCAATGCAGCTGTATCTTGTGAAGCCCTTGTGCTCGCTACGGGTACCCATGAATTCCCTTAGTACACCTCATAATTAGCAACAACCATGAAGCCATGCACCCTCAAGAAAGGTCACAACGAATCTCGATGTCAAATCAGAGGTTGGGGAACGAGACAAGACCTTTGCCATGCGACTCAAAGATCCGCAAATCTAAGGATCTCGCGACTTCCCGTATCATGTCGATGGCGTCTAACAAATTATAACCTTGAAGAGACAGCTGTTCGATCAGCGGACACCATGTGTCCTTAAGCTTCAGCATACCACGAAGGCAATCTTCGCTCAACTCGGTGTTGAAATAGCAGTCCTGCAACTTCAGACATTTCAACGACTCTGGTAGGTGACTGAGGTTCGTAAGTTTCTCAAACTGGATCGTTATGTGCGATAGCATTTCAAAATCGCGGAACGAAGGGTACACGTAGTGTAACGAGTCCTCGCCGTGCAGCTCGATGTCTTCTTGAAACCACGCATCGCGCATATCGTAGTGGCTGTTGAAGTGCAATTCCAGAGTCTTTAGAGTTGCTTTATGCTTTTCCAGTAGCGCGATCACCAGATCTTGTGGAGTGACGAGGGGTTGGCTCCCAATATCGTCTGGCAACATACCCCCAAAACGCCTGTCGTCTGGGATGATAAATCTGAACGTTTCCAAATGAGGACATGCATCTAGAGCTTGTCGCATTGTAGCGAGTGGCCCAAGACTCCACCACAATTCAATCGCCGGTGGTGTCAGTACGTTCGTGGCAGGATGAGCATCATTACCGGCCGATGCTTCGTTCTCGGTAGAGAATGAAGTGAACGATGGATATCGCAGGAGCGGGATGTAGTCAGCTATGTTGATTGGCTGGTTATCGAAATGCTTGTGCCTGCAGGTTAATGAGCGAGAGCGATATGAGCGGGAGTCGGTGATGCTTACAGATGGAACGTCTCCAACTTGGCGAGGAAGGCGTCACTCGAAGCTCTCATCGCATGCATCCCTTGCAGTAGTCCGCGAGGGGGCAGATTGTGTGTATCCATACGAAGATGCCGTAAATTGGGCAGACAAAGAAGTGTGCATAATACAAGCGTCTGGTACAACATGCTCCGTTCGCTATCGAGATTTTGAGTTTCGAATAATGCCAATAATTTGTCGAAAGTGGGACGGCGCATAAGGTCAGGTCCTTTATACGGGGCTGGTCGATGGTAATGTAAAGTGAGCGATCGCGTCTTCTTTCCGAGATTGGGGCGTTCGACACAGGTCCGCAAGAAAAGCTCAAGAGATTTCATCGTTTCAGGCATCGACTGTCCTAGTACCACGCAAGTGTAGAGCGCGGGTTGCGCAACAGCTGCCAGCGCGCGGGATGTTTTGCATAATCGCCATAATGCTCTGACATCTGAGCAAAGGCCTGTTGCAAGATGCGCGACGATGGAATAGAGCAGTTCGTTGGATAGATCAGTGAGCTTTGCCATGGTGATGCGGAGTGACCGCCGGAGGTGTCGCACGCGAGGTGCACAATATCAGGCAGCAACATTAGTAAGCAACGCTAGCTTCGCGGGGCCAGTGGCCACAACCTTCACCTTCACCATCAATCAAGCTCACAGTATCAGTCACGCAGAAGAAGCTTCTCAGTGGTACAATAGATATGGATTTAAAGATCACAACAGAAATCTAACAAATCACGGGCCTTCCTTCCAATATCCCTCCCAACCAGTCCTAGCTCGCCAATGCAGCCAGTTTACATCATCGCGCAAGGAGGGCACCGCTTCTTGCCGCACCTCTTCTTGTTCTCCTTGTGCTGGGTCCGCTTCATCGACTAGATGGTCGTTAGCAGATCTCATTTCAAGCCCATTCAAAGTATTACGTACAGCGACCTTCATGTCCTCGAGGAGCTTGGCCTCCCAAGCCTCATCTGTCTCCACAATGACTGTGGTAGCGTCGGTGCTGTCCTCGGTGACAGCGGCGGCAGCGGTGGCGGTAGCCTCGGAAGGCTCGTCGTCGGCCACGGTGACCATGGGGATGGGGAACCCGCTGGGAGGCAGGATGACGGAGGTGGACCAGGCAGTGACCTCGGGCCAGGTAGGCTCGTCGGCCACGGTGACCTGGGGGATGGGCATCCCGCTGGGAGGCAGGATGACGGAGGTATATGTAAAACCTTCCGGGGTGGTCTGAGAAGGAACCAGGCATGTTAGTCCATACTTCATGAAACAGTTGTGAAATGAAATGCTTACGGATGTGGTGAGAGCAGGCATTTTGCTTCGATTTTTTACTTTGAGATACTATGTTGTAGAAGTCTTGGGATGAAGATGGAATATTGTAAGTAGTTGGGATGGATGAAGAGGTTTATATAGAGATACTCTCACTTTCTGCTGTGGTAGCGCACGGAACTATGTTGGTGGTGTGTGTGGGCACAAATTGCAAAACCCTCTTCGCTACCCTTGAAATGTTGTCTCGCTCAACCACTCAAATCTATTGCACCCACAATGCATACCAAAGCTCTGGAAATTGGAAGCATGCAGAATGAGATATTCCAAGCCGTCCAATAGTATACCTGATATCTCATATCAGGCTGGCAGCGACAATAGTTCACCTCACCTCCCAGAGAACCCACATCTCTACCTCTGGAGAATACAACCTGAGCGACCATCGCAATCACACCACCCATTGCTACCCGTGAAGCATACCATGGCTGCGTAAAGCGACTGGAAGTTTTCCGATAATTTCGTTTGCCAACTACCCAATGATGTTCGCGATGTATGAAGCCTGGTTGGTAGCGACCGTAGTTTCCAGCACCTCGCGAAAAGCCCTCACCTCCACGCCTAGAAAGCAGTACCAATCTTACTATACCGATAATACACCCAAAGCTCACCCATAGAGCATACCACAGTTGCACGCGTCCCTTACAAAGCGCTCACCACACCCATCCGCAACACCCTCACTCTGAATGGCTCCCACAGCCACCGCACTAGCCTGCCCCATACAGTACCATTATACCATCGTCCCTTCCCTCCCCACCCACTCAACCCCACGCTCCCCAATATCCTCCAAACTGCGCACCCTCGCCACTTCTAACCTGGGGAAAAGTAGCTTAGCGCCTCCCACACAACTTGCCGTGTATATCATCTCACCTTCTACTTCCTTTCTCCATCCTTCCTTCACCTCACCTCACTTCACAGAACGCAAGTCCAGACGCATACTGCAAGCCACCTTCCCAACCCAACCCAAATACACACCCACCCACCAACCACAAAAATGCACACCCCAACCATCCTCCTCATCGCGGCCGCCGCCAGCGCTGCCGTCGCCGCGCCTATCACCCTCAACCCTACCAACCCCACCGACTCAACCAACAAGATCAACTACAACGCCCCCGTTGCCAAGGCACTTGCCTCAGCCGGTATGGTCGACACAGAAGGCCACTGCATGCACCCTCTGCACGACGGCCTCGCGTACCCACCGCGTTCCGCCCTCTATGCTGCTGACACCGCCGCTGTTGACACCGCCGCCGCTTCCCGTGCCGCCATGGTCGCTATGGACACCGCCGCTGTTGACGCCGCTCGCGCTTCCGTTGTCGCTGGCCACGTAGACGAGGAAGAAGAGGAGACACAAGAGCAGTACAACAAGAAACTCGTCAAGATGGACAAGGCTCGTGAGCACGGTGTTGTCTGCACTGTTTTGTAGGCGTATGCCTGCCTGTAAGTACTTCACATGCACGCTTCTAGGACAATCCAAGCTAATACGCCGGCAGTCTAGCGCCATCTACATGAAAGATGGGAACTTACACTCTCTCAGGTGATTTACACGAGAGACTGGGAGAATGGTGAGGGATACATGGCATAGCACGGCGTTAGGCGCACCGTAGTGACGTTAATCGCGATCACGGATACGAACAACGAACACTGCGCTCTTAGAGGCTTTCCATAATGTCAATCTGATTCAACATTCCACACTGTCTACACTATCATGCCGTTGTGAAACGTTATGTCTCTACTAACACCCCTGCTTATACGTGATCTCACAACGATGCGCCTTCGGCGCAATAAGGAAGAAGTTCTGTGGAACACCAGATATTAGCTTACATATCACACACACACACACACACACCACAAACGCATGAACTTACCTCAAACTCCATACTCTCAGGCGTCGTACTGGCCGCCAACCGGATACCACGGCACTCGCGGAAGAAGAACGCAGTCGCATACCGCAGTTCCATGCGCGCGAGATGGATACCGATACATGACCTTGCACCAGCGCCGAAAGGATGGAAAGCGAGCTTCGCATCCGGCGATTGCGCTTCGGGCACCGTTTCCTTGTCGGCGATCCAGCGTTGTGGGTTGAAACTAATCGAGGGTCAGCTTGATATTGCTTGCACGATGAAGTGCAAAGACACGACTTACGTCAGAGGGTCGCTCCAGATCTTGGGGTCGCGATGCAAAGTATACGCTTGCGTATCGACCGTGACGCCTTGTGGGATGTAATGACCAGCGAACTTGGTGCCACCTTGAGGTACCACTCTCGGCAGACTACTTGGCGCCGCGCCGTAGAGTCTCAGCGTCTCTTCGATAACCGCGTTGAGCAGCGGGAGTTTGATGAGATCGTTTTCGGAAAAGTCATGCGCTAGCGCCGCGGTCTCAGCCTCGAGCGCCGCTTGCAGCTCCGGTCGTTGGAGCACCGCCCATGTAAGGTACGTCAGGGTCACGCCCGTCGTATCGGTGCCTGCAATGATGACGTTCATGGCTTCGATTCTGACGTCCATGTCGTCGATGTGGCCCTCTCCTTCCTTCTCGCAGTCCTCGATGACCTTTGCGAAGATGTTGTTTTCGCCGGTGCGCGAGCGTGCTGTTTCGACGGCTTTGCCTGCGCCGGCGAGGATGAACTCGTTTGCGTTGAACATTTCTTGGATCGCTGGGACTGGGACGAAGCGCAGGAGGCGGAGGAATGGCATCTCGACCATGATGCCAGCTCCCATTGTCAGCTTCTTCAGCACGCGCATGAATTGGTTTTGCTGCGATATGTCAGCTCTGATGTGGTATTCGTAGTCGTGTCTTCATACCTCTCCCGATTCCAGCATGTTGAATGAGTCGCCAAATGCGAGGTGAGCGCTGACGTCCGAGGCAAGAAGCATCCACCAGTTGTACACGTCGGCTGTCGCTTGCGTAGCATCCGCCTTGATCTTTGTAACAGCCATGAGCGCCTTGTCCCTGACGACAGACTCCCAATGCTCAACAAGGTATGTCCTGCTGAAAGATCTAGACAACAGCTTCCTCCGCGGCCCATGCTCACGTGGGTCAAGCATGGTGAACACACCGGCCTTGGGGAAGTTCGCAAGGCGGAGGTACCATTCGCTCTTCATGTACTTGGTGCCAATCTTGTGAATCTCTTTGAAGGCATCCAAGTCTGCAACGGCAACCTCATTAGGCGATAGTCGTACAATGGGTCCATATTGCTCGTGGAGGGAGTCGATGTAGAAGATGCGCTGCCCTGTTACGACTGCGCGCTTCAAGCGATAATGTGTGAATCGAGTATACCAAGGGCCTGGCAAATGCTTCGTCCGACAGGTAAGACCAACGTAGAGAAACTGTAGTAGTTAGTGCTGGGTTGCGGAAGTGATATCTTGGCTGCACTACCTTTGCTACTAGCAGACCTATTGCCAGCAAGAATGCGTATGCGAACGAAGCCATGTTGCGATGTAGTCGCTGGAACAAGAGACAATAAAGCTGATGTAGGTGCAGTATGAGCAATTGAAGCTCAGGAGTGCTATCAGTCGATTGAGGACTCGTGTAGATATGCTGTCGGCACGGTACTTAAACCAGCTCTACGGATCTATACAAGTCAGAATGACCTGCGTGCGCAAAGGACGTTCTCTTATCCATCTTCATTTCTTCTTTCGCTAGACCAAACAGGATCAGCGGGCATCCTGTACCGGCATTGCTTTTGCGTACACCGGTCTACGGTCAACTGGGGACCCGACAAAGATAGCTAACGGTCCCTGTAGGCCTCCGACCATCGTCGCGCAACTCTGTTGTGACATTGCATGGGGGCACGCGAGCGGCTGTCAGTGCGAAGCAGGCGAATGACAGACGCAGGGCGCTCTTCCGCATCAAGATCTCCAGATGCAACCTTGCCGAATCGAGTATAACGTAGATTGACCGCGCCGAAACCTGCATGGTGCTCGCTGGTAGAGGGAGGGTATGCCGGCTATGGCCCAGGGCGCTCGTCTGAGGTGTAGGACGATCTGGCAATGGCCCCGATAGACGATCGCACTGCTTCGACGCGAACTTCCGTTGCTGTCTCTATTCGTTCAAGGTCGGGTTCGGTTGTTGTTGATGTGCTTGATGTGGGCAAAAGTCGCACGCCGCGGAAGCCGAAGCCAGCAACAGGTGGTACCAGTCCGATAGTTCATAGGATTCGCAGAGGACGTCTGGCCTGCTACCCAATCTCCGCAATGCGGGGATACTATAGATAATCAATGTGGAGGCTAGATAGAGGTTAGCAGAAGCGCTAGAGGCACATCACCGCCATGATCGCCGTTGGCTTACCGCAAGCTTCGAGTCAACGTCGCACCCCACCTCACACCGAACTCTACACAAAGCCATACCCTTGTACCCCGCCAGCTCGTATACAGGATAGCGTTATTGAAGCGAGTATCTCCGGGCGCTGCATAGTCGGAACAAGAGGTGTGTGCCGATGAGATCCACGCGAACGCAGCCGGGAATCAAGGGAACCGTGGCCGGGTTGGGTGTTGCGGTGCGGCTTGCTTCTGTGGCTTCGTTGGGATGATCGGGTACTGAAGACGCGGAAGGTGGTCGGAACTTCGAAGGCGCGAACGCAAAGCTATTGACTCAACTTGCGACGAGAGCCCTGGACAAAAGTATCATGTCCGCATCTTGCCAATACAAAGCACCGCAAAGACGTTCATGATACCTCTTACTGAATGCCCCTCCAGGAGCGGGCGACTTCGTGCTGGGAAGATGTCTCGTATCCGGCTGAGCTTCTGCACACTTCACTAGGCGTACCGGCTTCTCAGCAGACAGGCAAACACCAGGTACGATGGCGTCGCCGAAAGGTCTGGCCGCGAACAGAGTCAGCCCAGGCCGTCATTGTGACAGGTCGTTGATTACATATGGCGGCGCATGCTGGCTGTCGCGATGCGTTGCGTTGACCCCGCGCAGTCGGCCAGCCATGCGCGCAATCCCGATTGCTGTGGCTGAACGCATGAGTCCTGCGACCGAGGACTTCCGGACCGCAACTGTTGCTGCAAATGGGTTACCGGGTATCGACATGCGGATGGGACAGCGGACGGGCCGATGGAAAATGCTGAATGTGAGATGGACGAAGGTGGTTGAATTCGGGGAGCACATGTATCACCACGGAAGGAGGTCGTGACGTCAACCGTTACCTGTCGCCGGAGCGGGTGTTGCCCGTCGCTATTCGCATGGCTGGGTATAGCTTGAATGATGCTAAGCATTACTTGGGTATATCATACTACCGTTGACATATCATCTTGCTGCAGGTGTATGTCACGTGCCCTGATGAGCGACTGCCCAGGTGGCTCTTGCCTGCTTTCCACGGTAGCCGTGAAGGCTGTCCCTACAGCGCTGCACGCGGCCGAACCGTCCAGATGTCAATAGCTGTTCCGCACCCAGTCAATGGAAATGCCAAAATCCGCCACAACACGGGCTGTGAATCCGTGTTCATTGCCTCAAACCCGCATCTGCGAATAGCACTCCTAGATGTATGCAATTACATTCTGATCCGATACCTCACCCGTGTATGTCAGCTTACTAAACGAGAAGGGTATTAGAGCTCAGTATCGAGGCAACGCAACCGGATTTTAGCTAACATGCGCTGGGAGAACGAGCAATCCATCAGGCTACACAAAAAGCCATTCCAAGGTTTTCCGTCGAACCAAGCCGAAGATATCACAGTGCCATAGCATATAATCCGCAATGAAGCAGTCCCACCCGAAACCTAATCCCTTTCAGCCAGTTCTTTACTCGTTGCCACGACCCACCAACGTATACAACATCTACAGCATCCATCTTCCCGCCAAATTCCAGATCCCATCAATACCTACCCGAGCATCAGCTTTTCTTCCCGCATAAGATGCGCATGCCACCTCCAACAACTCTTACAAGTAACCTCCAAACACGGCGTCTCATATGTAATCTTATTCTGCCACCCTCCCTTCCTTTGTCTCTTCGGTCCGCCGTAATGGAAGCGGAATAGCTTTACCTTGCAAGACTTCACACCATTTCCTGCGTCTTTGGGTTTACGTTGCTTCGCTTCGCCGATCTTGTTAGATAGACGTAGTTCTGGGCACCGTAACTTTAGTGTGAGCTTCCGTGGTGCGTTATTTGTTTTGTGTTGTAGTAGGGTTGGCGGAGAGTAGGCGTTCCATATATGTGCCGGTATTCTAATACTCAGTCGCGTTTTGTCTGTAAGGCTGTCACGCTCGGGCAGTACGTCGGGTTGGTACTCATTCCATATGCGCTTTGGTATCCTGATCTTTAGAGCCATCATGTCGGTAATCAGGTCGGTCATTGCTATGCTTTCACCGGGATGTGGGTTCGCTGGACACATTCGCTGCGCTGTCGAATTTGCTGTTTCCTCCATCATCGCGGTGCCACAAATGGGTTGCTAGCTAAGAAGTTTGTCCAAGTATTTGTCGGTCGTTAACAGCTTGCACACTTGCGACAAGCCAGAGATCAATGACAGCAGGGCTGCCGGAACAAAGGTGTTTCAGATTGTTGAGATGAATGCCATTGTCTTGACCATGATCAGATGTCTTTCTCTAATGATAAACCACGTAAATGCTCATGATGCGATGCAGAATGCTAGATGATAGTATGAAAGTCGCGTGAGAACAATCGTCTACTCGTAACACTGGTCCCAAAGGCCACCAGCCCTCGCAAAGCTCTGGCTCTCTACGAATTTACTCAACGTACACCTTCCAAACTTGTCGCCGCCGCAAAACTCCAATGGGTGTACGCGGTCGTTCACAATGACACGGACCGACTCTTCCTTCGCATGTCTGCATTGCAGCTTCTCCACGTAGAGTCGGGCTGCGAAAGGCACGCTCCACGCTGCTGAATAGCCATGAGTCTTCTTTGTATCCTCCATGGTGGTGTTGGAGAGCGGATTCGTTTTGTTGTATAGACCAAGCGCAGCCAGAACACCGCTAATGTCGTTATCGTGGCTGAAGTCAGCGTACACCTTGCGGTCGAGCGGGAACGTCTTGGGGTCGGAGTCGAGCGTGCGGTTCGTGTTGGTGCTGTCCTCGACAGGCTTGTTAGTCAGACGCGCCAACAGCTCGTTGACGTAGCCGACGCCCTGCGTGGGACCGAGCGGGTTGCCGACGCTGTAACCGTAGTACTTGCCCAGCGTCTGGAAGTAGTCGTACTCGCGCCATTCCTTCACTTTGAAGATCTTGCAGAAGTCGGACAGCTTTGCAGACGGGTGTGCTAGTGTGTCGAATGGACACATATCCATCAGATAGACGATGGACGTCGCGCTAAGGTTCGTTCCAAGAGCTGAGTTGATGCGTTCTTGGATGGGTGGGACGAACTTGTCGGCCCAGACCTGCTGCGCCCTGAGTCCGAGACCGTGATGTGGACCGCCCTCGAAGGCGGGACAGACGTCGTGGGAGAGGGTGTTGTTCCACGTCGGCCCTTCAGGGATCACCACGTCGATGTTTCGCGGCTCCTCTTTCAGCGACTGCGCAACGCCCATAAGCCACTTCTCCGCAGATTCGACCACGCGATGCTGGCCCCCTGACCGCACGAAAGGTACGTTTCCGTCGATCAGCTTCTGGTATCGTTGGTAGAAGTGCGCCCCAGAGTTGACCATCTCCTGCCTTCCAGCATCTGTCAACTCATCCGCACCCAGGGTGTAGTCATAATCCTTCAGGAACTCGAATTCCTTCGGGTAGGTTGTAGTCGTGTTCTGTATTTCGGCTAGGAGAATGTGGTACGCGATGGATTTACCCAGCGTTGGGTCGCGACCGCCGTGGCGGGAGAGGACGTTCGCAAAGGTGACTTCGCAGCCCTTGGGAGGAGCTATGTCGATGTCTGAGGGGACCGAATACCAAAGCGAGTATTGGCCCCAGAAGTGCGATTTCTTCGGACTACATCGGTAGCCTTCGTCGATGGTGTCGCACGACTTCTTGGGACGAGAGAAAGTGAAGAGACTGGCGGTTGTCAGCTTTGCGTGCTCCAGCATATTGGTGCTTCGTACCCATGGACGCAATACAGGACCACACATGCGCCAACCACAAGAAGGACCCGACGCCCAAAGCCCTTCGGTCGCTGTTCGCGTCGGGATCTGCTTGAAAGAGGCTCCTTCTCGCTCATGGGGAGCGAAGCGTAGTCTTGCGAGCGATTGTTGCGCATCCTGTTCCACGCCTGCGTCATCTAATGGATGGTTTGGTGACAATATACGATGCGAGTGGCATTGACGCGCTGCGTACTTCAGCACTAGGTGTTGGGGAATCGAGCCGCCAACAAGTGACGTATGCCCATCATGGTGTTTCGGCAGAAGCCGTGACTGCCAAGCCGACCTCGGGACGCCCGGGCCCCATCCTCAAACTCCGCCAGCACTCTTCAATGCCTTTGCCTTTCACTCGCTGTCATCTGATCTCGTCACATATCTCCAAGCCCATCTCCAAGAACACGCTCTTGACGCGCAATCTCCGGCTAGATACGGTCGCGTCCGCTTGCCGACACCAGTTAGGCCTGTGTGCAATTGCGCGATGTAACGCCGTTCCGTCAGCGCGAGATAGTCGTCGCTATGGCGCCTGATTGGCTTCTACCCCATGTTTTGGCCCCTGTGGACACCACCACCGGGCCTCTTATCTGTGGATGAACCACAAGTAAGCATTGTCAAGCTTCCACCGACCTGGTCGCCATGCCTGTTCGGTGCAGCCGACGTCAATGGCCGCATGGCTAAGAGCACGGCTTCGCGCATCCTTCCGGATCGCATCTTCACGTCCATGTGTTTATAGAGTGTGTCTGCTCCATCATCAGCTCCCTGTCATTGGTATTACGTCGCGCGGACCCGGTAGCTGCCTGCATACGCCATCATGAAACCCGTTGAACGGCACACGCTGGACGATGAAGCCCAGTTACAGGCTCTCGGACACAAGGGCGAGTTGAAGCGCAACTTCAGTCTTTTGTCTATGCTCGGGCTTGCTTTCGCCATCTTGAACTCGTGGACTGCGCTTTCATCATCAATCGGACTGGCTTTGCCATCTGGTGGCTCCACAAGCGTCATCTGGGGACTTGTAACCGCCGGCATCTGTAACTTGTGTTTGGCCGCATCGCTGGCCGAGTTCCTGTCAGCGTATCCTACTGCTGGTGGACAGTAAGTACATTCAGTCAGCTTTCGCATCGTCAACTCACGCATCGCAGATACCATTGGGTCGCCGTTATTACCCCGCGGAAATGGGTTCCCCTCGCCTCTTTCATCACCGGCTGGATCAACGTATCCGGATGGCTCGCCTTGACTACCTCCGGAGGCCTCCTCGCGTCCCAACTCATTTCCGGTCTCATCGCGTTATTCCATCCTGAGTTCACGCTGCACGCATGGCAGGTCTGGCTGATTTACGTCGCTTGGACTCTCATCGCCTTCGTCATCAATGCGTTCATGAACAACCTCCTCCCCTACGTCAATCGTGGCGCTTTCATCTGGTCCATTGGCGGTTTCGCGATCGTCTGCATCACAGCCCTGGCATGCTCATCTCCTAACTACGCTTCCGCCGAGTTCGTCTTCACCGAGTTCATCAACGAGACGGGCTGGCCTGATGGTGTCGCTTGGCTCTTGGGCTTGCTCCAGGGCGGTTTTGGACTCACCGGCTACGATGCTGTCGCGCATATGATTGAAGAGATTCCGAATGCGTCAGTCGAGGGCCCAAAGATCATGATCTACTGCGTCTGTATCGGAACTGTCACCGGCTTCATCTTCCTCATGGTCCTGCTATTCGTGTCCGGCGGCGACGCGGAAGCCATCATCTCTGCAGCTCCTGGCCCACTTCTACAGATCCTGTACAACGCTACAAGCAGCAAAGCTGGAGCCGCATGCCTCTTGATGTTCCCATTGATCTGCATTCTCTTCGCGGAGATTGCCATCATGACTACCTCTAGCCGCATGACATATGCATTCGCTCGAGATGGCGGCCTTCCATTTTCCAGGGTCTTCGCCAAGGTACACCCGCGACTCGGTCAGCCTCTCAATGCTTTAATCCTGGCTGCGACCCTGACCATCCTGTTTGGATTGATCTTGATCGGGTCCAGTAGCGCTTTCAACGCTCTCATCTCATCCTCAGTCGTCGCCTTGGGCGTCAGCTACGCCATTCCCGTCGCAATCAACGTCTGCCGCGGCAGAAAGATGCTTGGACCTAGGTCTTTCGTTCTGCCTGGACCCTTGGGCTGGATCGCCAACTTGATCGGTATCGCATACACAATCATCACCACTGTTCTGTTCCTCTTCCCGCCTGAGCTCCCTGTCTCAGCGTCCAGCATGAGTAAGTTCCAGTATGAGTGTGCTTGGGCCTCACTAATAACGCTAGACTATTGCGTCGTTGCTTTCGGCATCATACTGTTCATCAGTACCTTCCAATGGTTTATCGATGGGCGGAAGAACTTTACTGGACCGCGGGCGGATGTCGATCTCGAAATCTTGGAAGCTATGCAGACCAATGAGCCGAGTGATGCTACGCACCAGCATTCCAAACTCGGTGGTGAAGATATCGCCAAATAGTCCAAGTGTTCGCATATAGCAATATTGCATGTCTATATCCTTGCGCAATTTCTTTCCTCTTGCGCATGACTAATCTTGATCCCGATCCGACGCGACGCATTGAGTGAAAGCACGAACGAACTCTCCCACAATGGTGTTGACACAACGTCATATGCAAGAGTCGGACCGCCACATTCACTACCCTTGGCATTGTTATTGATGACGCTAAAGCTTCCGCGCCTAATGCACCACATCTCGACCTCTTGTTCACAGCACTGTTCCACTCTCACTACCCTTTCCGATACGCTTTCCACGACCATCAACCCTATCACAGACATAGTTCCACGAGAGAGCCACTCGCCAATAGCAAAGATGTTTAATCCCATCCGCAAGCTCTTGAGTTTCTGGAGCGCCGCTGACACGAGCGTCACCACATCGTCCAACGACGCATCGACCAAGGATATAGCGACCGAGAGCACAGCGTACCGCGCCGCCTGCAATCACGCCGCACCTCCTACACGGTACGCGAGCGGTGTGTTCAACACCACACCGTCTCCGCCGCCCAATGCTGCACTATCAGCATACCTGTTCTCACAAGTGAAGGATACGAACACGTCTGAATCGAGAATGAGGAACATCCCGCCACCGCCATTTCCCATGTTTAGTGCGCCGACTGGCTACGCGACCGACGACGCTGGTACCACATCGGACGACATCGATATGCCAGATGCTACGCCGATGTCACCTCTGACACCTCCAACAACACCTTGCCGTGATGGTGATGATATCCGACCTTCGGTCGAGACACCAGCTCAAAAAGACGTTCACGGTGCAACCGCCAAAGACGATGACACTAGCGAGCCGCGCAACGACACGACACCACCTACATCTCCGGAACATGACAGCCGTACTCCTTCCTCGCCACCGCGCCAACAAGACCGCCAACCTACAACACCCGCATCAGAGCCCGCGCCAAACTGGCTAGACGAAATCGTCATCGAAGAAGACATCCCCGAGAACGCCCTCCCATTCGGCTACATGGGTACATTCCGCGGTAGCCGCCACTTCATCCCCGAGTACCCCGGTATGAAGCGCTGCAGCAACCAAGTCCCCCACCTCCTCCTCTGCGGCCACTGGATCGCTAGCACCGAACCCTGCGGCTCCAACTGCAAAAAGCAAGACCACACCCACAAACAATTCAAATGCCCAACCTGCAACGACATCGTCCGCGATATCCTCACGGGATCTTTCCAACCCGCTGACTCGATGAGGCTGAGGGAGTTCAGGAAGCAGAAAGATGTCAAGTTTCTGGCTTGCTGTGTCGAGGCGGTTGTGAGGGCTGCGCCGGAACTCAAGAATGGGGTTACGGAGGCTGTGGCTGGGTTTCTCTGCAAGGATTCTGGAAGGGAGTGTGAGAAGGCGGAGAATCCTGATCCGAGTGGTCGTGATAGTATTGAGGAGATTGTAAGAGATATGCAGGAGCGGTATGAGCGGAGGCAGCGGGAGAGGAGGGCGACAGAGGAGGAGGGGAATATGCATGAGAAGAGGGCTAGGGACGGGGATGCGAGGGATGGGAATGCCGATGCGGAAACACAGTTGAACGGGGATACACCGGGGGAGCATAAGCATGGGCGAAACGACGCATCCGCTGGTAACGACGAGGCGCACGATACCTCACCCCCTACCAACCCCAACAAGAAGCGCAAGACGTCCCTAGAAACCCACCGCGAACCCATCACGCCCTCTACCCGCGGCCTAAAGCGCCGCTCGCCATTCTCTCCTTCTCCCTCTCCCTCTACCCCCACTTCATCTTCAACTTCCTCCTTCGACGACCCAAACCCCTCACCCTTCGCCTACCTCCCCAACTCTAAACCCCCCTCCCCACCATATCCATCACCACCCCCGAAGAAGAGGGTCTTCGAGAAGCCTGATCCCGCATTCGGCGAGGCCAGCTTCGTCATCGCGCCGCCGAATGTTGTGGGGCCCCTCATGCGGAAGCGACATGCTGATGTCTATGTCGAGGGGGCTATTGAGCGGGAGAGTAAGCGGAGGAGGAGTGTGGAGAATGAAGTGGATGAAGTGGAGGGTGAGAGGGGAAGGGAGGGGATGAGGGGGGATGGGAGGGGAGGTGGGAATAGAAGTGGGAGTGGGAGTGGTGGGATCACTTGGAAGGAGTTTGAGGCTTTTAGGAGGGCGTGGGATGGGAGGGAGGAGGATGAGGAGGGGGAGTGTGAGTTGTAGGGCGAAGGGATAGTTGTGTGGAGTTACTGGACTTTGAGAGGTGTCGATGATAGATATCATTGACGGTTCTGCTAGGGTGACGGTCGTGGGATGCGGTGCATTTCCTTGCATGCGTTTTGCGGTTATTCTTGTGCAGTTGATTACATTGCGATTTTAGCCACTTTGCGATTTGGCAACTAGCGCGCAGTATTGCTTGTGGTAGTCTGTAGCAGCACAGCCTTTCCTATAGGGTAGAAAGAGTGCACCAAGGTAGTACTGTCGCTGCAGGATTTAAAAACCTCTCTTCATATAACAGTAGAAAATGTGAAAACGATCGTCCTCACACAGACATCCTCATCAGCATTACCATAATCCTACATCCCCGTCATCATACACTTCCCTTCCTCCCCATCCCCATCCCCATCACCAACTCATTCCTGCCAACTCCTCCACCCCGCCTCCCTCCACTCCCCACTCCTTCCCCCCTCCTTCATCACAACCCTAACACCACTCACCCTCTGCGACCTATCCACCGCCTTACACATATCCACCACACTAAGCGCCGCGCCCATAACCGCCGTCAGGGCCTCCATCTCCACTCCCGTGGGGCCTGTACATTGCACTTTGGCTTCGATGTTCACGCCCCCAAAACCCATTTTCCCCTTCCCCTTCCCTTTCCCCCCTAATATCTCACTTCTCTCCAATACCCCCATAATCCCCTCCATCTCCCCTTCCTTTGTTGTTGTTGTTGTCCGCGGATCCCACTTATCACCAAAAAGTCGTAGTTCGACGCTGACGTGGGTTAGAGCGATGGGATGGCACAACGGAATCAACTCCGGACATTTCTTCGCGGCCATTATGCCGGCTATGCGCGATGTACCCAACACATCTCCTTTCTTGTTGGCGTTTGAACGGATGAGGCGGAGGGGCACGGCGTTGGTGAAATACACGGTTCCGACGGCGATGGCGGTGCGGGTGGTGTGTTCCTTGGCGGATACCGAGACCATGTGTGCGGAGCCGGTGGGGGTGAGGTGGGGGAGGGACGGTTGTGGTGGTTGTAGTTGTTGTAGTTGAGATTGTTGTAGTTGGGATTGTGAGGAGGCAGGTTTGGTCTGTGGAGGGGGTTGTTGAGCGGAGGACGATTGTTGCACTAGTCCCTCCATCCCCCCCTCCAGCATCGACAAAGGACGAGTCTGCTGTCTCGGCTCCGCCTCAAAAGGCGAATGCGCAGCAACCTCATTCATGCTATCCAAAAAGTCTTGCAGCGACTTCGTTCCTGAAGCCTTGCCCTTGCTGTCTGTCGGGGGCTTCACAATATGTCTAGGCGGCCCTGGCAATTCTGTCCGCTCCAATTTCCTCCATTCAATATGCCTCGAGCGTCTGAGTTCAGGTAGGGGCTGGAGGGGTCCCTTGGTGCGTACGAAGGCTGGTTTGTCGGGGTCGGTTTCGGTGTCTTGATTAGGTGCGATTTGGTGGGTTCGTGGTATGATTTTCGGTAAGACTTCGTCGGCCTTTTTGATCGTGTCCGCTCGGTATTGCGGTAATTTGGCGTTTGCGCGTTCTGGCGTTAGCGGCTGTTGTTGCGGCTGCTTGGTTTTGAGTTCTCCCGCACGTTCATGTGCGCCAGGCAGTTGTTCCCCATCTTCTATCCCTTGCTCTTGGACGTTCATCTGTTCCTCCCCACCCTCTCGTCCTCGCTCCAGTGCCTCAGTCATTCGTCTCTCATCCTCCATCTTCTTAGCCTGCCTCCTCTTTTTCTGCAAGACGGTCTTACTTACGCCCTGACCGGGAGGCCGATGCATCCGAGGTGCGTACTCTCTGATTTTGCGAGGGTCGAGTTTGGCGTCATCTTTTGTGTCTGCTTTGGCGTCGGGTTTGGCGTCGTGCTTTGGTGGGACGGGCTCTGTGGAGCGCTTGGGTTGGCGCTTTGGGTCGGGCTTGACGTCTGGTTTGGCGATTGATTGGACGTGGGTCTTTTCGTGCATTTTTGTATCGATCTTCTCAACTGGTTTGGCGTTCGATGTAGCAGCGGGCTTGGGCTGGGTCGGGCTGTCTGGTATGGCGTCTGTCCTATAACGCTGCTTCACCTCCTCTTTCTTCTCGTTCTTCTCGTTCTTCTCGTTCTTCTCGTTCAGCTCGTTCTTCTCGTCTTTCCCCTCCGTCCCCAAAATCCTGGACCAAGACCAAAACCCCCTTCTCGTCGACGTGGAATACATCCTGCGACCCATGACCCCGTTGGTTGTCACACCACTCCCCGCCATCCTCATAGGCGCAGGCTCAATCTTCTTCTCGACATCCACCTCTTCACCACTCTTACCCGCCTCTTGCTCCAGCACCGGTCCTTCAACCCCACCATCCTCCCTCTCAACCCCCAAAAACCCCAACCCCCCCGCCTCCATCTCCTCCCAATCCAACCTCCCCTCCGCATCCCCCCACATATCCCCCCTCCGCTCAAACGCCTCATGCCACCTCATCGCCATCCTTTCCGCAGCCTCATTCCCCAAATCATGTTCCCTAACCATACTATCCAGTACCTCCTTGACCCTCTCATCTACAACACTTTTATCAACCTGGCCCGTGCCGTCCACATCATCGAAGCGCGCGTTCCACCGACTGATCAGGATCTTGAGCCAGGTTTGCAGGGTGCGTTTGTTGGACGAGGTCCAGACGTCGTAGGGGAGGTTGTCGATGCGGGGGTAGGAGGATTTTAGGCGGTTGCGGAGGGCAAGGATTTGGGATTGGAGGGCCGGGACGGAAGAGTCGAGGGAGAGGATCAAGTCGGCGTCGATGGGGACGATGCCTGAGGGAGGGATGTTGAGGCGTAAGTCATCCTTGGAGGACGGTGGGGATGGTGGTGGGCGTGGAGTGTCTTTCTTGATGGGTTTGCTGGCTTTGGTTGATGGCTTTTGCTGGGCGGAGGTGGGAGGGAAGGGATCTCCTGCGTTTGCGACCGAACTCGCGAAATCGTCGGCAGCCGCGTCAACTAGCTCTTCTGCAAAGGGCTTGTCGTTGGAGGTTCTTGCAGTAGCCTCTGTCTGTTCGTGGGTCGATTCGGATAGAGACTTGGATGTGGAGGTATCGCCATCGTCAACCACCATCCCCTCAGCTCGTTCCCCATCCATAACCTCCTCCCCAACCACCTCATCCCCATCCCCATCCCCACCCCTCTTCAGCACACTCACAGCCCCCGTCCCCTTCGGCCACACCACCCGCTTCGCCCTCGGCACATCCACATCCTTCACCTCCCTCTCTTTATACTCTCTTTCTTCCCTCGGCGGATGCATCGGCATCTTCTTAACCTTCTTCATCGCATCATCGAGTACCTCATCAAGCTCAAATCCCTCCGCCAACCCACCCTCCCTATCCGCCAGGCTCGTTCTCCTTACAAGACTGGCCCTGCGCTCCTCCTCTTCATGTGCGTTAAGTTGTTGAAGTAGTGTGCGTTTCTTCGCTAATACTTCTTCCCTCCTCTTCCGCATCTCAGCCGTTTTCTCTGCTTCCGCTTTGACGACTGCGGCTTGGGCTTTGTATTCTGCTAATAGCATGCCAAGTTCCTTCATCTTCTCAGTCCGGTATCTTTCTTGTTCCCGTCTCCGGGCTCGTTCGCGCTCATGTCTGCCTTTCCTTTTTCTTGGTGCCGTCGCTTCGTTACTGACTGCAGTGCCAACGGCATCAAACGCATCAGCTACACTTTCTTTGATCAATACTGGCGGGGCGGGCTCCTGGGATGCAAAAGCAGAAGCAAGCGGCGTCCCCTTCTCAACCTCAACAATGCGACGATGTAGATTCGCAATCTTCTTCTCGATATCCCTCAGGAGGTTTTCTGATTCATTAGGTGCTTCGACGTCCTCTAGAAACTGTTGGACGCCGAAAGCGTCTGTGGATCGAGATGTGTCTATGTTCTTTAGGAGTTTCTTTGCTTTGGCGAGGCGTTTTAGTTGGTAGGTTTTCTTTGCGGCGGGGGTGGGGGATGTTGAGAAGGCGCGGGTAGTAGTAGTGGTTGTTGTTGTGGGAGGAGAGGTGGTGTGTAGGAAGGGTAGTGGCGAGGTGGGTGTGCTGGAGCGCGGTCGCAGAGGGTTGGAGTGGGAGTGGTGGGAAGATTGTCTTCGTAATGTAGGCCATCGGGAATTCAGACTGGACAAGGGCTTGTTATCTAAATAAGGTCAGCAAGATACATCACAGACTGGACGGTCTCAGATGAGGATAGAGTTGGGTATATGATTGGTGTATGTAGCCAAATATCCAAGTCTAAGCGACAGTAAATGAGATCGCTCAAAACGCCATCTATGCAGTGACAAACGTGGTATCATGAGACATCCAACCATGACCGATCGTGAGAGCAGAACCAAATAATGGCGAAGGGGATCACACCCTGAAGGTCGTGAAGTAGAAAAGAGAAAGAGAACCCAGATTCACCCACCAATTAAAATCATAGGCCTATTCTCCCCATTGGCCAAATCGTCCAGATCAGCATGCTTCTCCGCCTTCCGCTTAACAGCAGCTCCAACAACGTCCAGGAGTTCGCGCTCGCGTTGGCCCCAGCCCAGCACCGTTTCGTCGCTCAGCCGGCCTTCATGCCGGTCCATCTCGATCTGCCTAATACGCTCAAACGCTTCTTGATCAATCGGCTCGCCGTTATTGCCCTGTCTGAGCACATCTCTCAAGCTCACCTCCGCATTACCATGCAAACAGACTTTGAGATTCCCGTCACTCGTAATGCGAAGCCTATTACAGGACCCGCAGAAATCGTTCGTCATACTCGTGATGAAGCCGACTTTGCCCACGAAGCCAGGTACTTCGTATGTTTTGCTCGTGTCGTTTTTGTGTCCAGGGACGGGTCTTAGGCCGGGGTATTTCGTGCGGATGATGTCTAACATCTCTTGGAAACTAATCATCTTGTTCTCGCTCCATTTGTTCCCGCCGAAAGGCATGTACTCGATGAACCTCACTTCGATATCTTTCTCGCGGCCCATTTCGACAAAAGGGAGGATCTCGCGCTCGTTCAGGCCGCGCATGACGACGCAGTTAACCTTCAGCTTAACATTCGCGCCGAGTTTATTCATTTCGAGTATGCGGTCGATGGAGCGCATGACGGCGTCGAAGCCTTTCCGGCGGGTCATGATCTGGAATTGGAACGGGTCTAGTGTGTCGAGGCTGAGATTGACGCCGGTCAGGCCTGCTTCCACCATGGCGTCTAGTTTGCGGTGCAGCGAGATGCCGTTGGTTGTGAGGGCGAGTTCGCGGAGGCCGCGCGGGCGCAGACTGCCGATTTGCTGCATGAGCGGGACGATGTCGCGGCGGACCGTGGGCTCGCCGCCTGTGAGCCGGATCTTGGTTACGCCTTGCGAGACGAAGAGGGAGGAGAGGTAGAAGATCTCGGGCGTGGTGAGCATGTTGGCGGGGGGTGATAGCGGTATGCCCTCTGTTTTTTGTTAGCAGAGTCCTTTGCTATGCAGACATTCGAAGCGCACCCTCTGGCATGCAGTACAGACACCGCAGGTTGCAGCGCTCTGTGATACTGATGCGGAGATAGTCATGCTGCCGATTGAACGTATCCGTCAGGAAATCAGAAAAAGGTTTCGCGTTCTTAATCGCCTTCCTCCGCTCATCCACCTTCGACGTCGCCGGCACCGAAACTGGAGGTACACCCGCGGGGAAATCCACATCGGGTTCCTGGATCGCAGCATTCGTCGCAATGCATCTTGTGCGTAATGCGCCTATCGACAGTCGCGTAGTCGGGTGTGCAAGCGGTCGTGAAAGCGGACGTGACATGGGATTGCCACCAACCGCCCGTCGCAGTCGCAGCGCGGCCGGACCCGCCCGTATCCTAGCCATTTGCGCCATTACGTGGAGTGTCGATTCGAAAGTCCGCGTCGTACATTGGGAGGAGGAGGGGCGCACATGGGGAGCTATATACGCCGCAAGAGGGTAGGGCGGAGATGACTGATATGTGACATGCTTTGGATCGCTTTAGGTGGGCTGTCCGAGCCTGTGACAGGGATCTACAACCGCTCTTGGCGAATCCTTAGTAAGATGGCTCCAGCAAAGGTGGGGTATGCGGCGAGGTGCGATACGCGGTAGTTCGATACACGGTAGTTGAGTTGTCATAATCGTTTGTAAGTACAGAGATTCATGCTTATTTTAATGTGCGCTTGTGTATCTCCGTGCATGGTGTTTGCAAATGCGTTCGAACATTTTCGCATCGCCGCGGAATCGTTCCGAGATTTCCGACATGGAGAAAACGAGTGACCCTCTACATCTCCCAAGGTCCTTCTTATACAAGGGAACATACAGTAAATCCGAAGACTACGCTAATATAAAGCAAGAATGCGAGACACCTGGCGTGAATGAAGACTCTAGTATGTTTTTTTGTTGCCTTGATTTATGTGCCACTAAGAAGCTCATCCATAGACGCGCTGCCACAGACTATTAATACATGCGCGATACTTCCTAGGATCGCAATGTTATTAACCGCAAAAGAATACCCAAGTGACCGCAGCGACTGCGCTCCCTTGCTGCACCTTTTCTACCCCAAACAAAAAGCCGCGAAATGACGTCTTATCTGGCGCGAACACATACTCCCTCGCCTTTCTCGAGCGCAACAGCGTGTACTCCCAATTCTGTACCACACTCTCCCTACACCCCCAGCCCTAGCCCTCCACAATCCATACAACCCTAACCAGCCCCAATCACCCCCCATACCCATCTACCCTCTCATCCCCCCCTCCCCCTCCCATACCCAGGATACGGTCTAACCCCCTCAAACATCCTAATACAATCGCCAACATTCCTCCCCTGCCCCTCAAGTCCCATCATCTCCTTAACGATATTCTCCAAAAAGCAAATCACCGCCCTCGCTCCCTCCGCTGGATTCCCCCCACTCAACCCCCTTCCCACCACCCCCTTTTTCCCTCCCTCATCCCGCGCCAACTCCATAACCAACGGTAGGTCACTCGCATCAAAGACCGCAGAGTCATCGAGATCGAACTCCGTCGCCGGACCCGTGAGATGGCTCCATGTAGTCGGCCAGTTGATGTCGTGTTCGCGGCGGAAGTCTGCGCGGCCGAAGAAGAAGAGCGGGGTGTTGTTTGTGGAGGAGTTGAGGAGGGGGGGTGTACCGGAGAGGTTGATGGAGAATCTTGCTGTGGGGGAGTTTGTAGTGTTTGTAGCGTTGAGGAGGGTAGGGGAGAGCAGGGTTGGGTAGAGGCCGAGGGAGAGGGAGGTTGCGACTGTGCCACCCAGACCGTGGCCGATGACACCGTAGGTATCCGTGTTTAAACTCCCCGTGAAGTGCAGGGCAGGGAATTGGCGGGTTAGCAAGGATGTGCTGTTGATCTGGCTGAGGGTGAATGCGACATCCTCTATCCGTGTTTCGACTGCCGTTTTTACCGTCTCGTTATACTCCGTAACAGGAGATAAATTAGACAAAGGCACCGTCCCGCTATTATAAACAACCTCCAAATCCCGCGTTCTCGACGATGTGAACTCGACGATTGACGCGTCGCCGGGGTGGTCGATGACTACGACCGCAGCGCCATTGGCCGCGATGTAGCGCGCCATTGTCGAATACATCAACCTGCTCGTGTCGACGTGCGGTTCTAGAACCACAACAGGTACCTTGCTGACGTCACCGCCGCCGCCGCCGCCGCCACTACCACTACTACTACCAACGCAAGACTCGTAGGTCATAGTTTCGAAAACCCCCGCATCCCGCTCATTCCCTTCAACAAACTGCTCGTTTGCTATCTTCGCGGTTCCCGCTGGCATATACTCCTGCGTGCCCATTGCAGAGCACTGTTTCTTGGGTACAGGCATGTACAAGCTAACCGTGATCCGTCGGTCTTGATCCGGGCGGTAAGCATCCTTCTTTGTGGAATCTGTCAAGGGGAAGTGGGAGACGGCGACGAGGTAGTTGTGGTTGTTGTCTGCGCCGGGGATTTCGATGGAGTGGACATTTTGCGGGAGGAGCACTGTGAGTGTGATGACGAGTATGAGGCCGATGATGCCTAGAGAGGGAAGCATGACGGCGGGTCGAGTGCATAGGCGGAGGAGCTTGAGGAGACGGGCCTTGAAGGCGTGTTTGGTGGGGGTGTCTGAGGACATTGAAGCGAGTGTGGTGCGAAGTTATATTGGTGAAGCAGTGGAGCAGCAGCGGGTTTCCGTTGTGATGTGACGTGGTAGGAGAAGGGAGGAGACGGGAAGGATACAATGTACCGGATTGCTCTGTTTGCGATGTGATCTAGTGGAACCTTCGAGTGAAAGGTTTCAAGAGCGGGAAGAACTTTAGTGTGTCGTTTGTACAACTGTGCTGTGAATTCCATAAGGCCGACAGTATATGAAAGGCGGACAGATACACACGCGGACAGAAGTAGAGGGAAGAGACCCAACTACCTCCCCTACCTGCTCTAGGATGCCAGGTACCGAATTGCGACTTGATCTAGTGCAAGCATTCTTGATCTAGTGCAAGCATTGAGTGAAATGTTTCTGACAGCGGGAAGCACTTTAGTGTGCCGTTTGTACTACTGTGCCCACGTTCTGTGAATGTGACGAGGCCGTTGTGTGGTCGGTGCGTGGTCGCACCGGTGGGATGCGTCTTCCTCTGGCGCAAGACACTACATATCGGCAACTTTCTGCCGTGCGGGTACTACTCGGCTGGTGGCCAAGAGGAAGTTGCATGAAACGCAAACCAACAGGCACTGCGTAGGACCCGAGTTCGCTTCTCCGGATACGCGCTAGTGAAGGAATACCAAGACGCATTACTAGACGTGCAAGCTTGCTAGAAGACAGAAATGGGATGGAAGAACAAGAGAGAACGACGCGGGACTCTTGGAAATGGATGCGTTGTTGGAAATGAATATGTGGATGAAAAGTGCCTTCGTTACTAGTCTATAGTCATGTACCATGACGCCTCTATGTCTTGCCTCGTCTTCCCTTTTCATCCTCTTCTATTCGCAAAAACAGATAATGTTGAAATCCGGCCGTATCGTCGTAATCGTGCAGTGTGGGGTATAAGCAATGTTGAATCCTCCGTAGGTGAGATGAGCGTGAACATCATGCCCTGTAGGTCCCCTCATCAAATGATGGAGAAGGGATTTCAACCGCGAAGGTCACGGCCTGACGTAGATCATTGGCACATCTCCGAGCCAAAACCTAGGAAACGTGTGTAAGTAGAAAGAAAACCAAACTTTTCAAGACCCCGACTCCAGGGAAGAAAGCGACAACCTCTTCCTCTTCTCAATCGGCAGTCTCTTCCACATGCCGACATGCTCAATCCCTTCTTCAAT